GCATCAGTCTTGCGTCTGATGAAGAGGGCATTCACCCACGAAAGCTTATGCTCCAATACTTCTGTTAGTCTTAAAGGTGCCACAGGACCCTCTGTTGCTTTTTACAGATTCAGACTAACACGGCTACCCCTCTGATACTGGTTTTAGGTAATAATTCCACCATGCAAGTGTCTCAACTTGTTTTCTATTTCTCTATGATCTTCAGAGTCAATACATTTACTTTTTGATTTATACACCATACCCAATAATTCCTGCATCAAGCCCCTAATTTCTATTTGAATTATAGCATATATTTTAGCAAGAGTGGAGAAGGTTTCTTAGGCCAGGTCTACACTGGGGGGAGGATCAATCTAAGTTACGCAACTTCAGCTACTTGAATAACATAGCTGAAATCGACATACTTAGATCTACGCACCGCGGTGTCTTCACTGCAGTGAGTCGACTGCTGATGCTCTCCCGTCGACTCCGCCTGCGCCTCTCGCCCTCGTGGAGTACTGGAGTCAACGAGAGAGCGCTCGGGGGGGTCAATTTATCACGTCTAGACTAGACACGATAAATCGACCCCTGCTGGATTGATCGCTGCCTGCCAATCTGGTGAGTAGTATAGACATACCCTTAGATATATCCAGGACATTAAAAAGCCGCCCCGCCTCTTTTCCTCTGTGTGTGTGTTCAAGCACAGTTATAACATTAAAATCCTGGGAGCTTAACTTTACACTCTTCATTTGGATTCTTCGGTCTTCAAAATATTCCTATGCTGAATTCATTCAACAAAACGTTAATGCAATCTGCTACAAATGAATTGCCACCAGTATACAGCTCAATTTTTTATGATGGGTAAATATACATATCAGATACATACATACACACATGTAGATTGGAGTGAAGGATTACAGAGTGAAATGTATATCCCCAGGAATTTAAAAGCAATGAAACAGGGGTCTACAGTACTATACGTCACAAGTTGCGGGAACTACTGTCCACTAGATGTCAGCTAAAACCTCTCCAGCGCATTATTCACGATCTA